GGCTCGCAGACGGCACCAGCCGGCGCGGGGCTGCCTGCTGCGCGGCCCCGCCTCGAGTGCGCGCACCCGCACACGCACGGGCGCGCTCCCGCCGCGCTGCGCCCTCGGCCGCGCTCCGCCGAGCCCCGCGCAGAGCAGCGCAGCGCAGAGCGGGTGCGGGGCTCCCCACGGCGGAGAGGGGCGCGTTTCACGGAGCCGCAACGCTGCCGCTGCCGCCGGGGGTGCCCGGAAGAGGATGGTGGTGGCCCGGCGCGGGGCGGTGGCCGRGGGGCTGCGGGTCAGTGGGTCAGGCTTATCCCCCAGGGAGCGTCCCGCGGGACTCGCACCGAGCGGCCGGTGTCGGGGTCGCGACGGTAGCGAGATGGAGTTCATCCCGAGCCAGTCCTCTTGTGACTGAATTTCCTAACTTTAGGCATTGTGAGCTTAAAAACCTAGGAATAAAATAAAGCAACCGTCCTTTGTGGCCTCGAGTTGGAGGCAGCATGTCTGTAGTTGAATTATATTGCAAAGGGCAAAAAATACCTTGCTTCTGTGTACTGAATACTTCAGAGAGGAAGGATGTCTTTGTTCCATGCAGGGAAGTTTGATGCTGCAGTCTCTTTTGGGGAAAAGTTTACACTGAAAAGCATTTGACCTTTGTAGGACAGGACCATCCCGATGGTCAAACAAACACACCTGTGAAAACCAAGCTTACACAAAAGAAGTGACATACATGGGAAAGGCTGGTAGCATGTACCTCCTCCTCCTCCTTCCTTTGGGAAGCGCAGTTCTTTGGTACTGCATTGGGCTCCTTTCCCAAGATGACARAGGCAGAGCACACAGGCTGAATTATTGAAAAGGCACTGAGGTCACTGATCCATAGAGAGAATGTGTGTGGGGAATAGACCAGCACAAAGTGTAGGATGGGTTCTCATACAAGCAGCAGGGCTCACAGAAACATTTCAGTGATGCTCTGAGTGTTCTGCAGGCCATCGCCTGGTGGTTGGCAGCAGGAGGGAGCCCTCTGCAATCAGCAGGGTCTAAGCAGTGCTTAGGTGGCAAAATCGTCATTGTTTTGGAGGGTGAGGAGAGTTTTTTTGGGGTTTACTGGATTTTGTATGGGTTTGCAGCTCTTCATCAGATCCTCTCTTTGTGCCAGGTAAGGGTCAAGTTTTACCTATTTCTTCATAATGCTGCATCTCAAAATGTCTGCAAATGTGGATGGCTGGAAAGGCAGAGAGAAACCCCAGTGTTTCTTTAGCTAAGAGCAGACTTCCAGTGTCCTAACTTAAGGAGAAACTTTTGGAAGGACCCATCTAATAATGCCCAATCATTGTGCCCCAGCTTTATTCCATCTGCATTTCATGATGTGAGATGTCTCAYRAGAGAGGAAGATATGYCATCTACCTAAAGGCTGAATCACTCTCTAGAAATGCTTATTTCTCTTTGTCTGATAAAATGACTTTAAATTACCCCCTGTATGTAGATGTGATTCATATGGGCTGATACTTTTTTTCTTAGAGCAGATATTGCTCCAGAAATAATATGTGTGCTTTTTTTATTATTGCCTWTTATTCTGAAATCTTCATTTCCCTTTGCTCTTAGTGTCTTCCTCTGCATTACCTCCGCAGAGAGCCTTTCAGAACAGCTGTTTCCATCACCCCTGTGGAACAAACTGCCAGACTTTTCCTGCCATCATTTTCCATTTCTGATGCTGCTGCTCTGCCTTTTCCATTGCAACTAAGCTAATAAAAGAGTCGGTCATGTGACAAGTGCCTTAAATTCACTCGGTGCAAGGCGAGCCGCAGGCATCCAGTGTCTGGCAAAATCAAGTCCATAATATATCCYGTCTGTGACCTTGCAGTGGGTTCAGGCTGGCTGAATGCCAGACACTCACCAAAGCCACTTCCCCACCCCCTCCTCAGCTGGACAGGGGAGAGAAAATGTAACAAAGGATTCGTGAGTTGAGATAAGGRCTAGGAGAGATTACTCATCAGATACTGTCACGGGCAAACCCGGCTCAAATTAGAGATATGAATTGAATGTATTACTAACAAAATCAGAGCAGGATAATGAGAAGTAAARTAAGACCTTAAAAATACCTTCCCTRCACCCTTCCCTCCTTCCCAGCTCTCCCAGTAGTGCAGGGAGACAGGGAATAGGGCTTATGGTCAGTTCATCACAYRTTTCTGGCACYRCTCAGGGAGAGGAGTYCTTACCCCTCCAGCATGGGGGCCCTCCCACAGGAGACAGTTCTCCACAAATTTCTCCAGYRTGAGTCCATCTCACGRGCAATACTCCTGCACAAACTGYTGTAACGTGGGTCACTCTYCYATGGGGTGCAGTTCTTCAAGGAGAGCCTGCYCCAGTGTGGGTCTCCCACATAGTCAGAAGTTCTACCAGAAAAYCTGCTCCAGTGTGGGCACCTCTCCATGGGTYTGCAGGTCTTKGTCAGGATCCTGCTCCAGCACARGCCTTCCATGGGGTCACAGCCTCCTCTGAGACATCCACCTGCTCTGATGTGGGTTTCTTCCACAGGCTGCAGRTGGATCYCTGCATCCCTGTGGAACTCCATGGGCTGCAGKGGCACAGCTGCYYCACCATGGTCTCACCAGGGGCTGCAGGGGAATCTCAGYTGGGGCACCTGGAGYAGATCCTSYCCCTYCTTCTCCACTGACTTTGGTSTTTGCAGGGCTGTTCCTCTCACATGTTCTCACCCTGCACTTCTCTGGTCATGATTACAGCTGTGCAGTATTTTTAATTTTTTTTTCTCTTGTAAAATCTGTTATCCCAGAGGYRTTACCATSATCTCKGRTGGGSYCAGCCTTGGCCAGTGGTACATCCATCCTGGAGCCAACAGGGATTGGCTCTGCTGGACATGGAGGAAGCTTCTGGTAGCTTCTCACAGAAGCCACCCCTGTAGCTCTCCCCCACTACCAAAACCAGGATATGCAAACCCGATACAGAGCTCTAGTAACACAATCGTTCATCTGCTTTAATTTTCTTTTGCAAATGGAAGCGTAACACATAGATTAGATTTTCTCTTTTATTCCAATGCATAAATGCACTGAACAGAGAAAAGAAGTGAGCCGGCCAAAATTAAAATGTTATCAATTTTGACAGGAAAGGCAATTGCTAAAGATTCCTAATTTAAAAAATAAAATCGAAAAAAATCTGAAAACTTTCATTATCGTTCCTTTTTCTGTTTTGTTTTCCCCATTTTGACCCTGTCTAAGCCATTCTTCTTATCCATTTTAAAATAAAAAAAAAAGTCCAGAAAAACACAGGGAAAAGTATGGAGGAAGAGGGTAAGAAAGTCTGGAAGYCAAATAAATTAATCAAAAACGTTGAATTTTTTATACACTTTCTTTTTAAAGAGAGGTTCAGTCTCCATAAAAATTGATTTAATAATTTAAAAATTTCTGAATTGTACTTTGCCATATTAAAATGAGATTCACCAAAATGTGAACAGCATTTCAAGAAAATAATTTTGGCAATGAATCTTTGACAGCTAGACCAAAACACCCTCATGGAGGGCAGTGTGGAGGTGGAAGGAGGTGGTTTACATAGATCTTTCTTGAACTGAGTAGATTTARGAGGTGGACACTATGAAAAGCACTTGTAGCAAGGCAGCCTGAAGGCAGAGTAGGTGAAAGAACAAGATATTGGTCATGTTCTATCTGAGGCACAGACAATAATAACCTTTTTTTCAATATTTTGAGATCTTGCATGTAAACACACAAAAGATCTCGTTTAAATATAAATAACTTGGTAGATAAGCAGATTTATCAAACCAATTAAATAGTATAATGAAGAAATATGTGCTTTCCAATGTTACCCCACCTCAGTCATGAGGGGAAAAATGGAGCCACTAATGCAATTAGATGCAACCTACTGATGGCACAATGTAATTTATTTATTGTGCACGTGCACTTTTCCCTCTATAAAACAGTAGGGGTGTCTGACTAAATCCATTATGTAAATCTCAGCATCTTTTCACTTGCACTTAGAAACTATTATTTTTCTTTGAGGCTTTTATAGTCACTTTTGCTTGAACTTGATACAATTAAATTCCAAGTGCTCTGCAATTCTACAAGCACTGCAGTTAGGCACTTTATTTGAAATAAAACTTAAACACAAATAAGGCACAAAGGTGTTTGTGTATCTCTGTTTGATACCAGAGATCTTAACTCACATTCAGGATTAAATTGTTTAAAATC